AGCATTAAAAGAGAAGATAATAATTTGTATAAAATGTTCAATACAAATAATTTACCAGATTAAAATCAAGCCCTTATAACGTGATCAGTATTACTGTAAAATTGTGAAGTAGAGAGGTTGTGTGTCACAAAAATGAATATGGGCTTTATTTTCCATAGGTTCTTCTTTTCAATTAGAACAACTGATTTAATTTACCGTAGCAGTATGGGATGTTGTACTTCTTCAAGATTCCCTAAGTAATCATGACCACAAAAACAAAGCTTTCTTATTCCACAGAGAGGCTTTAGGTGAAATGATAATCATTGACTTTTTGGAGGTGAAAAATATTCAGTTACTGTTCTTGATGGCTTTTCTAGTCAAGTCTTTGAAAACTTGTTTAGTCTATAATGAAATCTGATGTGACACCTTCTATGCATTCATAGCTCCTAATTTCATTCCGTTCAAGTACACATCATCTTGTTTTGTAGTCTTAGCTGACAAGCATTTACTATTTTTTAATTATTTTAATGACATGACATTCATAACTCATTCATAATGCATGTATTAAAGCATCTTAAAGCACTTTCTTCTTGAAATAAATAGCTAAATTTACTGTTTTGAACATATACATCTATCTGTTTTTCCTTTTTTAAAGGATGAACATAGTTAAGGTACTCCATATGCTTTAGATTTGACATATTAGTTTGTCTAACAGTTTATTTTTGATAAAAGTAGACCACAATTATCTGAGGATAAGGAGATAGATAATGGTAAATCTTCAGTGACATTAAAGAATGACATCAATGAAATACACTAGATTCTGGCATCTGGGGAATTGAGTCCTACCATGCACATGGGAAAAGAGTTCTATGTTTATGGAGTTATTGGAGCAATTTTCACTCCCAGTCCTTTGGGTAAAAGGATGCTTCCAACCAGGACTCCTTAATTTCAGATATCATATGCGTAACCCAATATGTCACCCATCTGGTGTTCAGCATTTGGCAAGCATCTGTATTCCCACTGTTCTCAGTTCAGTTTATAAGCTGACACTTCTTTCAACCAAGTAACCAAATCTATAATGCGCTTCCATGCAGAATGCTCATGTAATATGAATTGCATGAAAAAATCAGATGTGAATAGTGAGACTTCACAGAGATTAGAAATCCAGAGGTGAAAATAAGTGCATTTCTTTCTCTTTAGTTTTTCCCCAGAGAGGAAAACGAGCCAACTGGCTTGAAAATCAAAAAGATTAATTTCTCCCACAACTTCTTTCCATTCTAAGTATTTCTCCTGACTTGTCAGAGTCATTTCCTTCCTCTGTTCCTATCCTGAATGTCTCTTAGTCAAATATGATTTTGCTGTTATTACTACTTGTATTACAGAAGGACCAAGTCCCAGCTCACAACCTCTGTATAATGCTTTTGTCAGTAAAACACTGAGGTTCAATGTTAGATCCTGTCTTGTGGGAATGAATCTATTGAGTCTAGAAATGTAAATAGATAAGCAAAGCATAATTCTTTGTTTCAAGGATTCTAGTCACTTTTGTGGGCTAGGATTTACATTTTTACCTCCTCCCTGACATACTACTGCCATGTTTTGTAATTTGTCCTTTGTGTATGGTTAAATTCTTCTATATTTTTAAACCAGTTTCTGTTTTGGGGTCAGAAAGAAATTTTCCCTCCTACCCAGGGACTGCTGAAGGGATATCACAACAGTTTAGTTCCCTCCTAATGCCAAGGAAGAGGAAAATGGCATTGTCACTGGCCTGCTCCATCTCTGTGGCTTGCTGCAGTTTTTCCCAGATTTTATCTATCTACTAAAGCTCTTAATTTATGCCATGGAATTTAGATATGTTTTGTGGTTTTTAGAGCATGCCCAGCACGAAACTAATGTTTATGGACACCTCTGAATGAAAATTCAACAGCACAGCTACTTGCAGTTCCTCAGCTGGTCTCAATACAATACAGAGGGATCTGGCTTCCTCTCTAAGAAATGTTGAACTCTGGTGGTATTTGTACCCAACACATAAAGCCTTCAGCACAAGTCCATATTGCTGCAGAAGCCATGGCCAAAGAAATGCACAGGAAGGCATGGTAGCTTAAGACTGTGTTTCCACTGAGGGTCGTGTTGATCTGTTCAAGGTGATATCAGAATATTAAGAGGACAGATACATTCATGTATTAAAAAAGCAGTGCAGCGTTGGATAGGAAAGAATATTTGTCCCTTTGCATGCTAATGTCTCATTTCAAAGAGAATCATGTTTGTTTAGAAATAAACGCAATCATTTTCAATTGCAGTAAGTAAAATGATGGAACACCACATGTCTGTTTGTTATGGAAACATGGGGATCCTACAGAAAACATGGCTTAACATATACATATGTTAATCTGTACATGTCAGATATAATCTGTCTGACCTTTTCCATCAGATTTATGCAAATGAATGAGTAGTTAGGATGAGGAGGAAATGTAAACAAATCATAAAATCAGTAGCTTAATAAAAGCAACAAAATGGTAAGAACTGAAATAATACAACAATTTAGGGGCTTGGTGTGTGGGAGAGTAAAATTCCTTAGAAATGCATTCTTATTTGCCAGAAATCATTATACATTTAGTTAGCTGAGATATTTAAAACAGTAAACAGGAAATCTGTATCAAAAAGCAGAAGCATATTATAATACTTTATTAGAAAGAAGGATTTAGCTGTAATGGAGGGGGGAGGGAAATAAATGTAACAAGGCAAAAGACTAATGTTGTTTATGAGTGTGCATTGAAAAATGAGAAGAAATGCAAACCAAATGAAAGATGCATTTGCCATTGACTGGAAGTTATGGAGAAAATAGGCTTTCTACAGTAGACATGCACTAAAATTGTAGTTCCTAACTTTTTTTTCTTGAATGCAAATTAAAGAGTCATTTCTGACAAGAATCATAACTTCAACACTTATTTATTCTAACCTCAATTCCATTGCTATTTGGAAGAAAAATTACGGATCTGTTTTTGAGAAAGATTTTGCTAAAGCATGGCTCTGAGAGAGAGCTGACGCCCAAGTAACATTGTTGAGTTCTTCTATTATCTGATCCTCGGTGTAACTGAATGTTCACTAGTACTTGTGTGTCTAAATACAGGCAAGATTTTTTGTTTGGAAGATGTACGCCTCAGATCATTCTCTGAATTGCATTTTACTTTATTTTCTAGAAGGAACAGATTCAAGGAAACAGCTACTTTTTAGTGAACACGAGAACAAAGAAATTCTAGGAAACATGGCTTTCAACTGCGGCAAACAGAAGCAGATTCCAGATACAGAAGTGAAAAACTATACTAAATTTCCTTGAATAAACAGTTACATAACAATTTCGAAGATCTCAGCCTTATAAAGAGAACAATTTATATTCTATCTTAACATGATTTTGCTAGGAGCAGTGACTTAAAAAGGGTTGCGCTGATTTATACTAGCTCTAGCAAGTCTATGCACTGACATAAAGCTACAAAAGAACAACTAACAGATAAAAATTAAGAATAATGACCAAAGTCAGGCCAAACCTGCTGACACAAACACATACACCAGTCAGGCCCAGCAAATGCACTGCTCATGCTGCCAAACGAAGGCAGAAAGAAACTGCACACAGGGCTAAGTTGTGCCTACCACAAGATACAGAGCGCAGGGAACACAGTGAGAGGACCAGGTTTGAAGTTGTTCAGTGAAGCTTCCTCTAAGTGCCAAGCTGTATTTCTCTGTATGGCTGTCATTTCTTACTTGTCAAACTTTTATAAGTGGAATATATTCAGCTTGCTATTTAAGTGTTTGCATCAGGCTGTAGTTTTAAACACATAATACAAAAAAAAAATAGATTCATTCAAGAGGAGTTTTCCTCTAGAAACTTATCACAACTTCTTCCTTCCTTAATCTAAGGTTTGTTTCTCACTAACTTACAGCACTGCACCAATTTTTGAAGAACACATGCCAAAGTTAAAGGGCTCTGTCAAATCAGTTCCACATCAGAATCACAGAATCACAGAATCACTAAGGTTGGAAAAGACCTATAAGATCATCCAGTCCAACCATCCACCTATCACCAATGGTTCTCGCTAAACCATATCCCTCAGCACAACATCCAAACGTTCCTTGAACACCTCCAGGGAAGGGGACTCCACCACCTCCCTGGGCAGCCCATTCCAGTGCCTGACCACCCTTTCAGAGAAGTAGTATTTCCTAATATCCAGCCTGAATCTTCCCTGGTGCAGCTTGAAACCGTTCCCTCTAAGATCAGATACCATGATGTTAAGGTATACCCAGGATTTTTCTTAGCACTACATGACTTTGTACAAAGAAAATGGGCAGTTAAAAGTAGTTCATTTCACGCATATTTAACGTACTTTAAATAACACAATTGCTGGGAAGCTGTCAAAGTCAAAATCTGTGAGTAAGTGACCCCTAGAAAAAAAACCAACAGAAAGGATAATTCATTCACTATGGAAAATGCTCCTGTGTTTAAGAACATTACATCTCTGTTTGAAATTCTTCCTGTTGCTTTGGCATTTATAAGAGGGGATTCTACTTTAGAAGTAGTGAACACGTGTTGCCACTTTCTTATGATTAAAGCACCAATGAGACTTTCTTTTCTCCCAGCTACCTGTTTTAACAAAACATTTGGAGTTCTAATTTCTAATTTCTCCAGATATTAGAGAATTGAATTAGGTTTGGTTGAAAGAAAAGCAAATATTAGGGAAGAGTGGAGCTATATAAAGAGTAAGATACAGGTGATTACACAAGACATATTTACTCAAGACATTAGGCTAAATAAATACCTGCATATCTGTAGTTGGTCTGAGTGTTATCACACCGACTATAACACTAAATGAAAGTAGATGCTAATCCTGCCCAGCAGTTAGCATATTCCCTATGTAAATTTCATACATTTAAACTTATTTGTATTGGTATGTGAACATCTGTGGAATAAATCTTTCACAACATTACTGAAATTACTTCATTTACTTTTTCTTTTTTTTTCACCCTTGCAGAGTATTTGGTGCTGCTATACTGCTGACATCCTCCCTCAACATGTTGATACCATCTGCAGCCAGGGTGCATTACGGGTGTGTCATCTTTGTCAGGATCCTGCAGGGCCTTGTAGAGGTATGGAAAAATAAAATTACTGGCAAATGATTATTAGCATTTAAAGAGCAATCATCTCATTTTACGAGGAAAAAAAGTTTTCAATTTACTCCTGATTTTTTAGTACAGTATTACAATAACAGCAGTTTGATTTTCCTATACCTATAAAATTACACAAAGCTTCCCCTTGCTGAGAAGCCAGCAAGAACTAACATTGAAGTTTTACTGAAATCCTGTTCTACACAGGCCTTGCACTGCTGTTATTCTCAGTAGTTATTTGCTGCCCGGCTCTGCAAACTAAATCCGTAATAATGAATGAAGATTCTTGCATAGACTCTGACCTCTCATAGCTTCTCTGATCATATTCTCGATGAAATCAATTTGAGTTCTCCAGTGATTGAAGAGGGGAAAAGAATGAGCTTGTCCTCTAAATTTATTTCAGACTTCAGGCATGGGATTCCTGCTTCTTTATTCCTATGGGCCATGCAAGCTCACTTTATTTTATGCACTTTATTGTTTAATAAGACTCAAAAAGAAGGTACAGATTGTGCCTGGAAGTTAGAAGGCTGGCACTCAAGTTCTTGAACTATAAGTGTATAATTATTGAAACAATCCTGAAAAGTACTTTGCGTGGACATAGTTGTACTTTACCATGGAGGAGAAAAGCAGATGCAAGTGCTTAACTACAAAATAAAAAAGCTCTTTCATCATTAATTACTGTGATACTGCTGAAAGGAATGGTAAATGTAAGGTGGCTCAAGCAGTACTTTTTGAAGAAGGATTACAATACATCGTGGCAGTCTTAAAAAGATGTGATCTTAAGTTAACAAAAACTGAAGTGCACATTAAATTGGTTATAAAATCTTTGAAAATGAAATAAAGCATTTGAAGAGCTTTTTGTAACATGAGAGTGATCAACTCGACGTTTTCCTACTTTTTCAGAGGGAATAAAATATCAAATAAAGAGAAAAGTGGCTGTATATAACTATTCAGACATCATAGTAATTCTCAAGCATGAATTCTGGGAAAAAGCACAGCATATTTCATATTACATTTTTTAAAATTTCAACCCTGTAAGATGCAGTGATTTCCTTGAAGTTTTCCTATTGTGAGTTAAAGGGTGATTTTGAAGAAAGACATAAAAGGTAATTCCTTTTAAATCAAACAAAAAACACCACCCAATTCTTTAAGTGCTCAAAAACGTTCATTAAAAGATAGTGAATAACTTCTGACATTATATTTTTTAACTCTTGTTGATCTGATTTGATTGTTTTAGAGCAATGGAAAACTCTATTTGCTAAATTATATTTGGAATGTTGGAAGGTCATCAAAAAATGTTAGAAGGCCACAAAACTATGGGTTGCAGAACTGAGCCCAGCATTAGAAAGACTCTAGATAGTCTGTATTTTTGTCCCTCCTTTGATTCCGATACTTGTGCATTTATATTCTCTTTTTCTTCACTATTCTGCCCTGGGAACTGGGCAGAGTAAGAGGCAGAGTAAGAAAGATTATGTATGTTTTTTATTTACACCATTAGCCCTCTGAAATGAATCAGGAATGATGAACAAAACCCACTGCCACATTGTGGGAAAACTGAAGTTTTCCTGTGTCTGTGCTCAAACTTTGCTATAGGAATGTAAAGCATTCTCAGCACCTTGTTTGTAGCAGTGTTAAAACAAATATTCACGCAAAAAAGAAAAATGAACTGCTTGACTGATCAGCATCAGCTAACTTGTGGCATACCCATTCCCCAGGGGGTCACCTACCCTGCCTGCCACGGTATTTGGAGCAAGTGGGCCCCCCCATTAGAAAGAAGTAGGTTAGCAACCACTTCCTTTTGTGGTAAGTAACTTTCCGTTTTTCTCTCTCTTTCATTTAACCTAGAAGTACTTTGAGACTTAATTTCCTCACTTTTTCATCCATATACATCTTGTTTTGTAGGTTCCTATGCAGGAGCTGTTATTGCAATGCCTTTAGCTGGGATTCTAGTGCAATATACGGGGTGGTCTTCGGTGTTCTATGTGTATGGTATGCACTTCTCATCTCACTCCAGTATTGCATGACCTTACTCTACCCCATGTAGAGATGTAAAAGTTACCATGAAGAGGCCCCTCCAAAAAAGGAATGTCTCCATAATCTAAAAATACAGTCTTGAGAAAAAGAAAATAAAAGAACTGAATTTAAAGGAGAGCAACTTTATCAAACAAGACTGGAAAAACCATCACTTCTAGTAGTAGTGCAGCCTGCTATGGAAAACTATAGAAACCCAGATTCTCAGAGGTAACATCACTCTTACAGAACTGTAACTTAAGAGTACACCCCTCTACCCACAGTAGTTCTGCTGCATTAAATTACACTGATAGAAAAAAAAATGGCCCATGGGTGTTCAATCTGCACTGTAAATTGATGTGAATTAAAGGGAAATGTCAGAGAAAATTATTAAGCTACTCAGAGGGTAATGTGACTAAGTTGAAAACAGTGCCACAATCTTGTCCTTTGAAGGTAAAAAAAAAAAGAAGTAGTGCAATAATCAAACAATAATGGCTTAAAGCAGAATGGACCATCATTTACATGTAACATAAAAGGGGAGCTGTATCATTGCATAGTACAAGTTAATGTTAGAATATAAATGATATTCACGTATAGTGAAGTCACTCTGTAGATGAAACAGAATTCTTCATGGTGGTACAGCTCTGCACGCATTTTACAGAATTTTTTTTAATAGGATTTGGCTCTTAGAACGACTTGGTAGAGAAGCAGTAACAACATTTGCCATTTAAATTTGTTACAATTCTCCACATATTTTCTTTTTTGCTACTTTACTGTGCATTTCTTTTGAAAGACTTTTTCTCCATTCTAAAGGGAGCTTTGGTATAGTCTGGTACATGTTTTGGCTTTTGGTTTCATACGAGAGTCCTGCAAAGCATCCTACAATCACAGATGAAGAAAGGCGATACATAGAAGAAAGCATTGGAGAGAGTGCCAACCTACTAGGTGCAATGGAAGTAAGAATATTCATACACTTATGTCCTATGAGATAGGAACAATAAAAACCAAACAAATAAAACCAAAATGAATCAACATAACAGTAGTAGTATGTTGGATATTTTAAGACAGAAAATGATTGAAAATCTCCAGGGGAGATGGGAGATGATCTGAAATCTGCTGAAGGGTTTCTTGGCGGATAGTGCTTCTGCATGAAAAGAGGTGCTGGAGGATCAGTCATAGAATTCCTGCCTGATCTTTCTCTATTCCAAAATACATTTTTAAAAAGGGCTTGGGCTAAAGCTAGAATTACACTTGGAATTGAAAGCTTATTGAGACTTTCATGCTTCCTTGAGTTCAAGTGGTTCATTTCCTTTCCTTCCTAGTTTATCCCTTCTGAATTGTTCATCTTCGTAAAAGTAAACTAGAGGAAAAGCACCACCTTAAGGAACTCAAGACATCAGAATTAGCAAATCCTGTCTACTCTGTATTTGCTTTTCAAGAAAGATTGCCATTTGAAATAGAACATTCTAGTAGATTCATAAGAACATCCCCCATTACAGTGGTAACTGCTGGAGACACGATATCAAGCCTCAGGAATTTCCTCTAAGCAAAAAAATTTCATCTAGATTAAACAGGGAATTAATAATACTGGCAATATTTTTTTATATATAGTTTACATCTGAAAATGTTCTTGAGATATTCTTAAGGATAATTTGATAAGTATACAAATGGCATATGTAAAGAGCCAGCAGCTCTTTAAGGACATCCTTCTGAGAGTGCAATGGCTCTCCATCCCTCAGAAGAAGTTGAGCAGAGAAGGCAGGCAACCATCATGGCTGTGCAAGGACCTGCAGCTTAAACTAGAGGGAAGAAGGAAATGTTCAGAAAGTGGAAGCAGGGTTGTATATCTTGGGAGGAATACAGGGCTGTTGTCCATGTGTGTAGAGATAGGATTAGGAAAGTTAAGGTGCAGATGGAGCTTAACTTGGCAAGGGATGTGAAAGATAACAAGAAGGGGTTCTACAGGTACATAGGCAGGAGAAGACAGGCCAAGGAGTGTGTTCCCCCTCTGATGAAAGGTAACAGGGAGCTGGCTTCCTCAGACATAGAAAAAGCTGAGGTACTCAGTGAGTGCTTTGCCTCAGTCTTCAGGGGTGGTCAGGCTTCCCATGTCTACCAGGACCATGAGCCTCTAGGTGAGGGTGTGTGGAGTGGTTTCTGTCCCACAGTGGAACAAATCCAAGTCCTCCTCATGCAATTGAACATATATAAGTGCATGGAGCTGGATAATATCCATCCTGGAGCTCTGAAAGAGATGGCTGATGTGGTTGCCAAGCTACTCTCCATCATATTTGAAAAATCGTGGCTGCCTGATGAAGTCCCCAGTGAGTGGAAAAAGGGAAACATTACTCCTGTTTTTAAGAAAGGGAGAAAGAAAGACCCAGGGAACTCCCTCTGTGCTTGGGAAGATCATGGAGCAGATCCTCCTAGAAATGTTCTTAAGGCACATATGAGAAAGAGGTGATTCGAGACAGCCAGCATGGCTTCACCAAGGACAGATCATGCCAGACCAATCTGGTGGCCTTCTATGATGGAGTGACGGCTTGGGTGGACGGGGGAAGGGCATCTACCTGGATTTCTGCAAAGTCTGTAACATGGTCCCTCACCACATCCTTCTCTCTAAACTGGAGAGGTATGGATTTGAAGGATGATTCAGTGGATTAGGAATTGGCTGGCTGGATGCAGCCAAAGGTTGTGATCAATGGTTCTGTGTCAGGGTGGAGGCCAGTCACAAGCGGTGTCCCTCAGGGGTCAGTCTTGGGAGTGGTGCTTTTCAGCATCTTCATCAATGACACAGATGATGGCATTGAGTGCATCCTCAGCAACTTTGCAGATGACACCAAGCTGAGCAGTGCAGTCGATACTTGGAAGGAAGGGAAGCCATCCAGAGAGACCTGGGCAGACTGGAGAAATGGGGCCATGAAAACCTAATGAGGTTCAATAAAGCCAAGTGCAGGGTGCTGCACGTGGGTCAGGGCAATCCCAGGTATTTATACAGACTGGGGGAAGATCTCCTTGAGAGCAGCCCTGTGGAGAAGGACTTGGGGGTCCTGGTGGACGAGAAGCTGGACATGAGCCAGCAGTGTGCGCTTGTAACCCGGAAGGCCAACTGTGTTCCGGGCTGCATTAAAAAAAGGGGTGGCCAGCAGGGAGAGGGAGGTGATTGTCCCCCTCTACTTCCCTCTTGTGAGGCAGGAAGGATGTGGAGATCTTGGAGCAGGTCCAGAGGAGGGCACGAAGATGATGAGAGGGCTGGAGCACCTATCCTATGAGGAAAGACTGAGGGAACAAGCTTGTTTAGCTTGGAGAAAAATCTGGGGAGACCTTATTGTGGCCTTCCAATACACGAAGGGAAAATATAAACAGGAGTGGGAGTGGCTGTTCACAAGGGTGGATAGTGAAAAGTCAAGGGAGAATGGTCTTAAACTGAAACAGGGGAGGTTTAGGTTAGATATTAAGAGGAAGTTTTTCACATAGAGGGTGGTGCACACTGGAGCAGGCTGCCCAAAGAGGTTGTGGATGCCCCATCTCTCTGGAGGCATTCAAGACCAGGCTGGATGTGGCTCTGGGCAGCCTGGGCTGGTGGTTGGCAACCCTGCACATAGCAGGAAGGTTGAAACTTGATAATCATTGTGGTCCTTTTCAACCCAGGCCATTCTGTGATTCCATGATTCTATCCAGTGGGTTGGACTTCTTTGAAGAAAATTCAGTATTCAGGCAATTTTCAGACACTCACTGGGATCTGGATCCTGCACTTTAATCAACACAGATGGACAGAACCCTGAGCTCACAGAGAGGTGTTGCCACTCAGCAGGACTGTAGTTCTGCCCATCTGTCTTCTTTTTTCATTATACAATTCATTTTTAAAAAGTCATAAAAGAAAGCAAAATATATTGACCAAACAGCTTCACAGCTGAGACTTGGTAGAAACTAAAGTCAAAATTTGGAGATTAAGTTCTACATATTAAAATACATGATTAAAATGTGGATGAAAACATGTACTTGCAGTATGAAAGTGACACCTTATATACAGATTTATTTTAAGGAAGTGTACTTTTGGGCATTGTGTACTCATGTTTACATTATAGAGCTAACAGCATCTGTAACTGAATTTTGTGGTACAGATAAGGATCACTGAGTTTCCCCACTTGTTTACTGTGCAATTTTTAATGACATCTTTATATTAAATTTAAAGTATCCAATTGTGGATGCATGTACCTTAGGACAAGTAAAGTCATGGGAATTCAAGTATATAGAATTGTATATATATTAACTTACTAGAAAGTAAGTAAGAAGTAGGAATAGAAAAGGGAGATAGATATTCGCTATTGATCAAAATATTGACTGTATCCCCTTCTTATGTTTCAGAAATACAAAACTCCATGGAGAAAGTTTTTTACATCTATGCCAGTCTATGCAATAATTGTTGCAAACTTCTGTAGAAGCTGGACTTTCTACTTGTTACTTATTAGTCAGCCTGCTTACTTTGAAGAAGTATTCGGATTTGAAATAAGCAAGGTATGTAAAAGTAAGCTGAAGCTTTCATCTTCACTAAGCAAGAATCAGAGTCACATTTGTAGTATTTATAGGTAGAAAAAAAAATGAATATTCTGCATTTTCATGTGGTTGTTCATAGTAGGTTTCAGATCTTATCCTCTGTGGCTACTAGGTCATTTACCAGCACCTATGTGTGGAATAATAGCAAAGTCAAAGGGTCTGGAGCATATCCAATAGGACAAAAAGCTGGCAGACCTGGGTCTGTTCAGCCTAGAACAGAGAAGGCAAAGGAAATCTGATAAATGTTTATAAATATTGAAAGTGTGAGAGGCAATTAGACAAGACCAGAATATTTTCAGAGATATGAGTGATAGTACAAGGAGCAACAGCCAAAAACTGGAACACAGGAAGTTCACACTAATATACACAAGAACTTCTGCATTCTGCCTTCTTTACCTTCTATGGAGACACTCAAAACCTGTACGACCTGCTGTAGGGAATCTCTTTTATCAGGGCATTAAGACTTGAGGTCCCTGCCAACCTATCCTCCTTCCTACACCTTTTAGTGTGGAGAGAGCTGCACCCTTTCTTTTGCTTAGGAAGAGAAACAGTTGACAGGAAAACATGATACCTTAGGGATGACCCAACATTCCACTTAATTCATGAATTTTCAGTCAGCCTCTTAAAGGGGCACAATCAAACAAACCTCAGGAAGATATAGTAAGCTTTTTACCAATATAGATTTCCCTCTTCTGAAAAGGATAAGGACTTGTGCATTTCAGGTATTCACATCATTTTGATATTCTAGGTGGTATTGAACCACACTAAACAAGATGGAGAGAACAGCAATGACAGCAGACATACAAGGTCCTAGACTGCAGTGAGGATTTGTTCAAATGCAACAGCCACAAACACAGAAATAAAGGAAACAAGCTAGTTACCTTCACAAAGCCTCAGGTAGATAGGGATCTCCAGCAAGATACCCTCACCTCCATTGCCAACTCTTAAATGAGGTGTGGGAAGGAGTGGATCTTGGCTCCAGCCATTCTGGTCACTCAGGTACATGGCATGCAGCTGATCTTCCTTTGTTGGCTCTGCCTTCTACCAGGTGCTCAATCACTGCATCAAGTCATGACTTAGTATTTTCATTACAAATGGTAATTATTGTGTTCTGAGTAGCTATCAAAGACTTGAAGTATTATGGGGTATTGTCAAAGTTATGTAAAGTCAGCCCAAATTTAAAGATGGGCTTCAGAATCAAGATTAATTTCTCAAAAAATTAGGCCCTCTGAGCTAAGCCTGTGAGCCCTCTATAACATTAAAAAAAAAAAAAAAAAAAAAAGCCACCTTTAAAAAGAGGGTCAGATTGATAATATCCTAATCTTCAAAGACTGGAACAGAATTGAACTGGTGTGTCACTTTGGAGACCATTTTCTATATATTTCACCACACTCAAAGATCAAAGTAAAAGTGTAAATGATTCATGATAGTTCCATCAGGATGGAAAATAAAATATTTGGAATTTCAGTCCAAAATCTTTATGTGTTTGTGTAGCATGTTAATAGATAAAGCAAAACATCCATTAGTTTGGGTACCTGAGACTTCAGGCCAGCATACAGACTCTTCAGAATTGTATACAGTGGAATTTTAAACATCACTGGAGTTATTTTAAGGAGCTTTGCTACAGCTGAAATATTTTATGCCATGCGTGCAATAAGAATGGTCACACTGTATAGAATTAATCTGATCATTTTTTTTCTAGAAGATTTTTTCTTAGAGCGTATTCAAAGAAACATGGAGCTTTGTAACAATGGCAGAAAAAAATAGTGTTCAGGCTGATATACTGTTTAGAAAGGAAATATGCAAAAGCCTTGGCCTTGCACACACTGAGATATAGACAATCATCAGAATTCACCAGCAGAACAAAATGTCACACATCCAGAAGGAAGCCATCTGCAAGGCAGTTACAGGAGATAGCGGGTGGCAGTTGGAGTCACACTCACAGATACCTGCTACTGCCTTGAAGGAACAGTCTACAAATATATTACAGTTTGGGACAGTCATCACAAAATTAATTTGCTAATATGCAGAGCATTTTGTGTATCACCAACAGATATTTAGTGTATTATCTTTAACTATAAGCAGATTTTCTCAGAGAGGTGCCCAGATGGAACTTGCAGCGTATCTTTGCTGAGAAATCAAAGGAAAATGGGCACTGTATGTTCGAGGGTGATCCACAGGGAATCTTTTTGCAGACCTCACACGTCTGGACATGTTAGCTTTGCTGGGCAATGCTGTGCCAAGCCCACTGCCAACAGAAATGCAGCAATTTGGTTAGACACATTTGATCATAAATTTTCTGAAAAGGAAAGGCTACAAAGTCAGGGAAAAAAAAGCTACTGGCTTAAATCTAAATGACGAGAACAGTTTTTAAGTATGAAGTGTCGAGGCATTGGATGTTCTTAAAAATCTGTCTGCCCTTTGGGAAACACAATGACAACTTATGATTGTTAGTTTTACTCATTTAATAAACCAAGGTTAATAAATTCTTAGTTTGAAAATGTCTGAAATCAAAGAGAAACAATGTCTGAATGGTTCTGAAAATGAAAAATGACAGTTTTCTTGCCATTTAGGCTCTCTTATTTCTCATCATTATTTTAGGTGGGTATTTTATCTGCTGTGCCACATTTAGTGATGACAATTATTGTTCCTATTGGGGGACAAATTGCCGACTTCTTAAGAAGCAAACAAATTCTTTCCACCACCACTGTGAGAAAGATAATGAACTGTGGAGGTAAGGCTTCCTACCTCATTAGCAAAGTTTCTTGTACAGACTTAATAGGCACACAGTGTACTGCATACATTAAATTTGCATGGTTTTACATACATACAACTAATACTTTGCAGGTTTTTTTGTGTTGTAGATGCAGTTAATAAATTAAAATAAACACATCTGTTCCTACATTCAATTTCAAAAGACATGTTTGATAGTTCTAAAAGCATTTAGGCTATTACAGGAGCAGGTGAGCTCTTTTGGGTTAATCTGCTTACAAGTAGCTTCTAAGTGAGTCTTACATACTCATGTAGCTGAGCCCTCTGCACTAAGAGAGCCCAGATTCCAGACCTAATCTCTCAGAGGCCAAACTTACAGAAATGAATCATGGCAGTGATGAGAGCTTTAAAGTTCATCACAGGCTGAGAGTATACTCCCATTAGTTCCAGCCTAATTACAGTTTTTATTTTGAGTTTAAAAGTGGCAGGAAGCAACAATAAACAGGCAAACAATAAAATATAGATTATCAGACATAAGCAAGAACGTGCTTTCTAGGGAGGAAAGAAATGCCTGATTCTATTCCATTCCAGGGTAATGTTTTGCATCTGTCTCTTAAGCAATATAACCACCATAAAGTCTGTGACACATGAGAAGGTGCTAAATCTGATGCCTGGTTTTCTTTACAATTTCCCAAGGTTTTGGTATGGAAGCAACTCTTCTTCTTGTGGTGGGATATTCTCACAGTAAAGGAGTGGCTATTTCATTCCTAGTACTTGCTGTAGGCTTTAGCGGATTCGCCATATCAGGTGAGATTATGCTGCTGCTATTAATACATTATTTTATCCTAAGAGAGCCAACATTTCATTTGGTTTGTATTAATTGACAATAATTTAAAACAAATATTATTTGTGATCACTACAAACTACAATCAGTATCATGTTCTCTACATTGTTATTTTTCTTGTTGTCGTTTTTGTTGTTGAAATAACCAATCTTTTCCTTATGCAGTGCAGCAAATTAATTTTCTTTTTTTTTTTCCATGCGGTGCTTATGCTCACCACAGGTTTTTCTCAAAATTAAACATATAGCACAAATGAACTGATATTATGCACAAATAGCTATATATGTGTCTTTGTTTAGATATTGACCTTTTACTGTTTTTTCCTCTGCGTATTATTTAATGCTTTTTCACAAAACATGAAGAATGTCTTATTTTCTAAAAGCTATCCATTTATAAACACCTCCCTTTTCTCTTTTTGTTATCTTTTGATATGCAATGGTCTAGCTTCTGCTTTCACTTACTGAAGCACTTATTCTGGGGACAACAACTTCAGTCACTTTATATAGAACCAAGTCTCTCAAGATATTTTAAATAGTTACTGTAGACATTTGAACAAGACTGAGGTATTGATAATGCAAGGAAACAATGAAAGATTGTAAGCATGACTATAAATCATTTAGAGAAAGCCTCTTTTTACTCTACCACTCAGAAACAGTAGGGAACTGCCTTCTGCTAGTCAGTGTAAAAGAAAAACGTGGGCAGAACTAAATGGAAGTGGCACAGGCTGGAAGAAGAAACAACGTGTTACTGACAGCGTGTGAAAAGCTCATGGATGACAATCTGAAAATACAGATTTTATCTAAATATCTTCTGGTTTATCTAAACAGTTACTACTGGGATATATTTTAGAACTTCAGTTTGGGGAAGAAAAATACATTTGGTATCGTTTTATGACTTTTTTTAAAGAAAATGAGGAACCATAAGAGTGTTTAAGTACTAGTATCCTTTTATTGAAAAATAAATGCAAATATCCAAAATACATCTAAGTAAAACTGTCGAGTGAATTACTTTACACTACTTTGCAGAATTGTAGTATTGCTCTGGTTATGGTACAAATGTTTGCTGACATTTGCTTTGCAGGATTCAATGTCAACCATTTAGACATTGCCCCAAGGTATGCCAGCATATTAATGGGGATTTCTAATGGAGTCGGGACCTTGTCTGGAATGGTATGCCCTATAATTGTTGGAGCAATGACAAAGAACAAGGTAAGTGGCAATCCAGTTTTCAGATCTTCCAGTTTAATAGAATTCATTCCATGAAAAAGATTTTCATTACACAGCTTACCAGAATATATGTTACTGACTGAGAGCTCTAGGAGAGAGCATCTGGGAACCAGCATATTTGAAGCATGAGGCACTCACTATTTGCTCATGATGTCAATGCTTTTGTATGCTAATAAATAGTTATTTTCGAAGAAAGATGTATGTAATTAATTGGAATTTTGATATGCAAATGTTTTAGTTTTGTCATCACAGCCTCAACCACTAGTTTAAATCTTTCAGCTCAGGAGAGTTAGATAAGTGTGTATGCACTGGTCTGATTTAGCAAATTTCTTCTTTACAGACACGTGAAGAGTGGCAGTATGTCTTCCTCATTGCTGCTTTAGTTCATTATGGAGGTGTTATATTCTATGGCATATTTGCTTCAGGAGAGAAACAACCCTGGGCAGACCCTGAGCAGACAAGTGAAGAGAAATGTGGCTTCATTCATGAAGATGAACTAGCTGAAGAGACAGGGGACATCACTCAGAATTATGTAAATTATGGCACCACCAAATCGTATGGTGCTACAACCCAGGTCAACGGTGGCTGGCCTAATGGTTGGGAGAAAAAAGAGGAATTTGTACAACAGGAAGTACAAGACTCATACAACTACAAGGAAGGAGATTATTCATAACAAACCTAAATATTGGGTATATTTTGTAGTGCTTGTGATTAAATTCATTGTGATTGTTTGCATACAGAAATAAAATGTGGTATAAACGTAAACACATATCAAGCGGGAAGGTCTTACTGTAAAAAAAAAATCCATTAAAGTGCAATCTGTATGAGTTGTGACGTCATCACATTCATTAGGTTATATTTGTTCAATAAACATTAGAGTTTTAAGGGTTTACTGGTCAAAACTATAGGGGCAATTAGATACTTACAGTATACAAGAGCTAAAACTCGTAAGTACAGAGTAAAGCACAACTAAGCAACCAAGTTGGCACATCTAATGCTCTTTTTAGAAAGCCAAAATTACTTGATCATTAAAAATGCACTTAAATATTTGTTACACTGTATTGAAAGAGATTGTGTTAAATACACGCGTTTACTCAGTGCAATGTAGGAATTGTATGTTTAGTCTAAGACAAGAACTTTCTTAAAGGAGAAAGGTTCAGTCCTAGGCATTTACAGGGGACTGATTCAGTTCCTTTAATGGTAATTGTATCAAGCCTAAAAGAACATATAGGGCATATTGTATGTTTATTGTGATTACATGCTGCAGGCTACTCTGTGATGAATAATGGAATTATTTAGGAGTTTTATACTGAATGTTTGGGCACAAATTCTTATTTCTATTCTGCACGGATTCTTATGAAATTATAGGCCTTGTCATGTTCTTCCCTGCATTTATCAACTAATAGAAAAAAAATGTAATGATAAGTCTGATTGTTCATGCAGACTGCCAAATCTCTTTATCAAAAAATAAGCTTTATTACTCTTTTCTTTGCAGAATATTCCAAGTTTGTAACCATGTCTTTAAAGAGAAAAAAAGTAACACACTATAAACTAGAAAAAGATATAGTCTTATAAAAAAATTCCAAAGAGAAGCCCTATGAAAAAGGATGTATTTGTTTTTCAGAATATTTTGAAACCAATAGAAGTAACATAGAATAATTTAACCCTTATGCTTCCCTTAATAGCGTTCATATTTTTACACATTGTGCCACAGTTATATACATAGATATAAGTTTATTGAAAATACTGTAATTATAGAAAATGTTCCTATTTTAGAAATCCCTGAAATAATAATTAAAAAGAAACTGTATTTGTCTTTCAATTAAACCTATTAATAATGGACACTGAATATAAACTCACAATAAACCAAAGTGGCAAATAACTAGTGTTGGGTTGAAAGAAGCCAACAAGCATCATGCTTGTCTTTTCAGCATAACTCAACAGTGACTGCAACATTAGTGTACCAAGCAATAAGTGCAATGCATTACAAAGTGCATAATCTTCTAGTCTATTAACCTTCATTCAGCTTGTTGTATATATTTGAGGTTGTTGGGATTAAACCAAACTGAACCAAATTGAAGTTAGCAACACCAGACCACTTCTTAATACTCTAAAATGACAACAATGATCCATTTCCTAATTCAATCAAATGATAATTATTGTATGTAATAATCCATTCTGGATTCCTGGTCTGTTCATTGTATCGTGCTAGTGATTGGAAACCCTGCTACCGCAATATACAACTTGAGGATTGTTTATTCTCCTTCTCTTTCCTTCCTTCTTTCTTTCTTCCCTTCTTTCCTTCTTTCTCTCTCTCTCTCTCCATTTCTTCCTTTCTTTCCTTCTCTCTCTCTCTCTCTCTCTTGATTTCTTTCTCTCTCTCTCTCTCTTTCTTTCTTTCTTTCTTTCTTTCTTTCTTTCTTTCTTTCTTTCTTTTTCTTTCTTTCTTTCTTTCTCTCTCTCTCTCTTTCTTTCTCTCTTTCTCTCTTGCTTTCACTCTTTCTTGCTTTCACTCTTTCTTTCCTTTTTTCCTTCTTTTTTCTTTTCTTTTTATGCAAATCATACCTTAACCTTAAGAAAAAAATATTTTGCTTTGTGCCTCAAAGTGATGTAAAATGTGACCATAGCTTTTGCTGTGTTTAATGAAAAAGATGTGGACTGTGTCACTTTTGTTGCTGCAAAAAGTGTTAATAAAATGCTCTATTTATCCTTTTATATAAAAAGGAGTGCTGTAGTTTCTTGTGATTTTTTTTAGATGCTCTATAATATAGTTGGCTCGTGTTCTACACACTACAGAATCAATTCTGCTATCAACACAGAAATGATATCTGAGTCTCAGCTAGGAGCTGTGCTGGATACCCAGTGTCCTGCATTGCCTGCTCTCTCCTGTGCCCCAGCACAGAAGTGCGGTGGGACAGGCCCCTGTCACTGGGCTCTTATTCCTACTCCCATAAGGATTCTTGGAGCAGGCATGAGGGAGGAAAGAGCAGGAGAATTGGTCTGCCAGCCAGTGACACAAACTGGGAAAAATGTATAAGTCTAAGGGCTGGTGTGGATTAGCATTCTCTACAGCAAATGAAAGGCTATCATGGATGGCTGCCCTAGGAATTTGTTTCCTTTCTTGCTCCCGCAGCAAAACTCCTTAACTGAAACATAATACTTTTTGTCCATCTTACAGGAATCAGTGAAATTCAAAAAATCCTACATTAAAAAGATCTTCTTCTAAAAATAGGCCCTGTTCAATAATTCTCCTGAATCCAGCTGAATCCAGCAGAAGCTAGAAGCTTTGTTCATCAAAGTGAACAAAAGGCCACAAAGAGCAACTAGAACAACAACAGGCCCTGTGCTTCTCACCAGTATGCTACTAGCCATGAGATGCTGAGTCAGGGACTCACCAGGTTCCTGCTCATTGTCTTGATGGACTAGAGTGATGTTGTCATGGAAACATCCTAGAAGATCCACAAGTGGGATAAATAGGGGCTGTAGATGTACTGCTGTGTTTATTAAACCAAGAGAACAGCTCAGAAAATGAAAACTAATTAAGAAAATTAAAACTATTAATCTTAATTTTCAGATTGATCTTACAGATTCTCTATCTTACGGAATTGTTCCAATAGTTTCCTATCATTAAGCAAAGGTAATCTTTTTTCCTCATTAGTTTGACACCTTTTAATTACTTAGAACAAAGGGAAGACTTTAATCCAGGCATTATACGTTGCCTTGTTCAGCTGTGCACTGTTCCACGGTAACTCAACAACTTCTTTACTTGATAGAACAGAAAGGCTGAAGAAAAGTATTAATTGGAATGCTCAGAAAATTACTTCTAGGAATGAGGAAGGTGTTTTGCAATGTATTTTTAGAATGCTTTCATGAAAATTATTCATGTCATAACTGTATAGCTACCTGGCTCTTCTGTCTTCTGAAAACACATTGTTTATTTTCTTTTTCCCCTCACTTCAAATGCTAAACCACTCTTAAGGTTTTCCACATTCTCTTTCTAGCTGCCTGCTTCTGCTTTGACTCTTTTATTTCCTCTTTAAAACGGTATAAGGTAGGAAGAGAAGCACGCTAGATTTTAAGTTTTTTTCTTCACAGACTCCTATACATAAAAAGATACAGGATGCGATTATCAGAAACATGACTGAGAAAGAAGGAAGGAAAATGGAGAAAATAAATGGTTCCTTGCCAAGATTGTTTAAGTGAAGACAAGCAGTAACAGCTGGATCTATTTTAAGGGAAAAGAAGAATTGAGGAGGCATGACCCTTCATCCTGACTCCTACATTTTTTCACAGTAAATATGCTTATGCTTCTCCCTTACTACTTCCTAGTTACAGAGAGCATGGCTAAACTACTCAGCCTCTTCTGAACAGTGCTCTTGCTGCCCAGAGGCATCTCCTCTGCACTCAGGTTCAAATACTAACTCTGCAGATGCACTGTTCCTCTTTTGGAACTCTCTCAGTCAAATCACTGCTATGAATCAGGATTCACAGTCCCCTGATCGTCTTGTTCTATCAGCTATTTCTCTTCTGTTCCCCTACCTGATACCCTGTACTTATACTCTCTCACTATGCTTTGCACTATGCAAAGCACTTTTTACTTACACCTTTATTTATTGATCAATTATTTTCTAAGTGAAGAAGAGGGCAGAATCCAGGCTCATTAGAGAGATCATTAGAAAATTTCAGTTTAGACGGGGTTAGAATATACTTCAAATCTTCATCTTTGTGTCCTCAAACAGTCTCATATAGTATTATTACTCAATATTAAAAAATTTGTATTCACATCAGTAAGATCCCCTCTGTTAACGTATATTCTTTCTTGCAGAGATAAAGCTATCTTAAAATGCTCTTTGCTTTCAGATGTGATCATGAAATTCAATTCACCCAATTTCATAAAAACACTTTCCTGTGGGGAAAAAGAAATCCTCAAGGTAAAGGTTGAATTGCAGCAACAAAAGAATATCTGCAAATTTGAATGAAGACCTCTTTCATGAAGAGCTAAGCATAGGAATGAATGTGGAAGTCAGAATAAATGTCACAGTTCAAAACTGTACTGTTGGAAAGATAACATCACAGACTTTGTTGCTGCCTCTGAAAGATAAAATGCTCTGCTCCTTTTAGAATAAGCTGTGAAGGAGTGTGAAGGCTGGTCTAGATTAACTATTTAACAGCAACTGCTTTTGCCCATGTTATGAATTTGTCTGTATTTATTTGCTTGAATAATTTTGTTGCACTGGAAGTTTTAAAGATATTTTAGTTTTATATCAGTGTATATCCAATCTGATCTAATTAATGTGTTTGAGTTTGTTATTCTAGATTTGCTTAGCACTCTTTCACCCCGTTGTAGTGCAAAGCAAGGCAGAGAATGAAATGTGTTACGTGTGTTCACGTGTACAACTACTGAAGCCTACATAATGAGTTATATTGAGGTCAAGTGCTGTGACAGGATCTTCAGTATTTGATGTTAAAAAATGATTGTTGAGAAATGCATCTTTGGAAGGATTTTAACACTAGAAATATATCATCCTTCCAATTTTTGCTTTAGATGAAGTTGCATTCTCTCATTCTTCCAAATGCTATGGGTAAGGAATAAGAGAACAACACAAAATATGTTTCTGAGCAACACTCCAATCCCTAGCAGGCTCTTCTCTATAAGAAAGTAAGAGCACAAGA